TCTGAGAGAAAGCCGCCCTCGAGTTCTGCCCGCTGCCAGACAGTCCAGTTTTTCCCTGTATGAGTCTGGGTCCCCAGAGACTTCCTGGAACTGGAGTTCAGAGCAGTCGGGGGCTTGTGACTCCCTCCCGATTCAAAAAGGCAGCTGCGTCCTCAGTTGCCAGCCTTGCCGCGTGCACCTCCATACCTCTGCACTTTATTTCCGCACCTCCTCTGAGTCTCAGTGTGCTTTTCTCTTTCCTTCTAGTTGTAGAATTTCCACTCAGCCAGTCTTCCTGTAGTTCTGGATGATGTCCATTTTGTCTTTTAGTTGTATTTTTGAAGTTGTTGTGGGAGGCAGCAATTTCTGGTGTTTACCTATGCCGCCATCTTGGTTTCTCCTGCAGAACTATCTTTTAAATACTTTATAATATAATACATGTGTAGTAACCTATAGATTGCTTGACACTTGGAAGCATTTCAATATATGGTAGATATTATCAGTAGATCTTGTTTTAGAGGCCTAACTACCTAGATTAGGTTATTCTTTTTCTCATTAATCTTTATATTTCTAAGTGCTTGCTTTTAAAATATATTTCATTTTTATTTATTGCTTAATTACATTGGGCTCAGAAATGACTTCTGTTGAATTGATTGTCAAAGGAATAAGGGATCTTGGAAGAGCTTTTGTAGGTCTTTCAAACTAATAAAGACAGCGTTTTCCTGAATGAATAATGAAACAAGTTTTCATTTCCTGTTGTGATGAGTGTCATCTCTGGGTCAATACATTTACAGAGTTTTAATTTGAAGAAAGAAGCAGTAGCTTTAAAATGCTCTTTAAAAAATATCCATTTGCAACAAAAGGGGACATCTGCAATACTTTTAATAATAAACAATTTTTTTTTAAAAAAGGGAATAAAACATATCCATTTGCTTTTTAAAAAATTTTGTTAAATACATGTTTACAAATTTAGAAAAACCTACATTTGGAAAGAGAATAAAAGGAATATTATTCCAATACTACCTACCTTCCCCAAAAAACCTTTTTGCATTTTTTTGTCTGTCATCCTTCAGATTTGACTTACTTCTGAGCATGTGTACATGTGTACTAGGTGTACTGGTTAATAATGCGGGTTTTGTAATCAGAGAAAACACGGTAATTAAAAAAAACATCAGAAGTGCTTTATTCAAAGTAATGTTCATCACTAGCTACACATTTCCCCATCTTTCAGGTAATTTGTGGATACCATCCCAATAGAACTTTTCTTGTTTTAAGATAAACCATTCAGAGACCTAATTTTCCACTCCTTCATATGTTTTGAAGTGCTGCTCAGAAAGTGCATGTGCCACCGATCGGAACAAGTGGTAATCTGAAGGAGCAAGGCCTGGTGAATACAGTGGCTGGGTTAATACTTCCCAGACAAGATCTTTTAATGTGTCTTTAACTGGTTTTGAAGTGTGTGATGGTGTGTCATCATGAAGCAAAATTACTTTGCCATGTCTTCTGGAACATTCTGGTCGTTTCACCATCAAAGCGTGGTTCAAATTGATTATTTGTTGTCGGTAGTGATCAGTATTAACGGTTTCACCTGGTTTTAGAAGCTCCTAATACACCACACCTTCCTGATCTCACCAAACGCAGGGCATTGTCTTCTTTCCGAAGTGATTGGCCTTGCAGTTGATGTTGATTATTGGCCTGGATCAACCCATGATTTTGTGCATTTGGGATTCTCAAAATAAATCCACTCTTTATCGCCTGTCACAATTCAATGCAAAAAAGACTTTCTTTCGTGCCATTGAAGCAACATTTTACTGATGACTTTTTGGTTTTCCATTTGTCTTTTGTTTAGTTGATGTGGCACCCATTTTCCTCCCTTTAAAATCTTTCCCATTACTTGTAAGTGATCGGAAATTGTTTGCTGAGCAATGTTTAATTTTTCTGCAAGTTGTTTTTGAGTTTGACACGCATCTTCATCAAATAATTGCATCTTCAATCCAATTGTTGGTCTTCAAACTTTTTCAGTTGACCTGGACGTTCTTTGTCTTTCACATCGAAATCATCACTTTTAAAGTGTTTAAACCAGCATTCACAAGTATCTTGAGATGGAAAATGTTCACCATACGCTTCCCGAAGTATTCAGCAGCACTTTTCTTCAAAATAAAGTAATGAACTATAACTTCCTGCAAATGCTCTTTTTTGGCACAAAGCTCAACATTTTTAAGTGTAAAAATATCTATGATGTTAACACCTTCAGCAAATTTGACATACGAAGTTTTGAAGCTTGTTGTCAATACAACAAAATAACATATCCAATTGCATATATATCAACATATGTGTAACTCCATCTATTGAAAAAAATCTGCCTTATTAACCAGTACACGTAGTATATTTATATGCAAATGTAACTTTTACAAAAATGGACATGTATGCTAGGTAGCAAGATATCAAGTGCTATGGTTTCTGAGTTTCACAGTGCAAGTAGCATAAGTCATAGCATAATAAAGATTTCCAGCAGTAGAAATTATTGTGCTAATTCTGTTTAGGAGTCAGGCATTTAGGAGAGGGGTGAGCTGTTCCACCCATACTGTGGAGTTGCATTCCTGTAGGGGTTAAAATAAAAAATCCGTATGTGAATCTAATGCATGTATTATGTTACTCATAGTAGGTGCATTTACTACAATGACTTAAAGTAGCTATCTTCCTGCAGATTGTAACTTTAGGACTAGCACCTAATAATCTCCTTTTCTTTAGGTATGGTATAAGAAACAGTTTACTTATTGCCCCAATGCCTACTGCTTCCACTGCTCAGATTCTGGGAAATAATGAGTCCATTGAACCTTATACCAGCAACATCTACACTCGTAGAGTCTTGTCAGGAGAATTTCAGGTGAGAAGATCACAACTAGACATACAAGAAAATCTTTCAAAAGCCTGATATTGGGAGTAAATGCTAATTCATATTTAGTATGCCTATTTTTCTTAGTAGGGGGGCAGAGTTTTGATAAAATGGGTCCTCTTCGTCCCTAATATTGTTCTAAGTTATTTCAGCACATAATAGACATTTAATAAATATCTGCCAAAAGAATGAATGATTGAGGGTTGAAAGTATGAAAGTAACTTGTTGATATTAGAGTTCACGTGATATTTAACCATTCTGTAATCATAATGATATATACTACAAGATCAGATGTTTAAATTGGTGATACTTAAAATACATGTAGAAGTGTTATTTAAGACAGTGGTTTTCAGCCTTGGTTATAAGTGAGAGTTTTTGGTGGGTGGGACCATTGTTTTTTTATTTTTAAGGTTCCCAGGTAGTTCTGATGTGTAGCTAGGGTTGAGAACCACTAATTTAAAAGATTTTTATTTGAATTTGCTGATATCATGACATAAATTTCTGTAAGGTTTGGGGTGAATACATAGGATTTCTATTTTTTTTTTCTTAAATACTTGTTTCCTTATATAGGAAAAAAAAACTCAATCCACAAAAATTTGCCCAGCTTAGGCAACATTAGTTCATTCCACTGTTGCAAATACCATATATTATGTTTCTTGAATAAAAAGGAAATCAATACTTTAAAGGAATATAATTGTCATGTAATGGAATGGGGCCCTTCAGTTTTATGAAAAATAGAAGTTATCAACTTAATGTTAAATAATTCTGTAATGATTTTATTTACTTCAAGCTTTAGACCATGATCCTCTTTAGGCCCTGTCATTGTTATTTATTCCTTTATATTTTTTGTTCTTTTCCATTCAGATTGTAAACCCTCATTTACTGAAAGATCTTACTGAGCGGGGCTTATGGAATGAAGAGATGAAAAATCAGATTATTGCATGCAATGGCTCTATCCAGGTACAGAATGGGCGGTGGGGGGAAGTGAATTAAGTTGGGCATTGGAACCTTCTCACTTATCCCAGGCAGTGGAGAGAAAAAATGTCTACCAGTTTGGTCATAGGCCTGTGGTCATATAGACTTACGTAGCTCTGTTCACCTCTGTATTGTTGCGCTAGGATTATATACATCTTCACAGAGCTAGTCCTGGCCTTACCCTTTTGTTTGTGCAATAATGTAAAGCACAAAGAAGTGGTTCCCAACTTGAGTCCTAATTTATCTTATGGGCTTTGTTTCTTTGCTTCTCTGGATCATGTCCCTGAGTGGTGTAGCTCTGAGTATTTGTGTTTTCTTCAAAGCTCAAGGGTCATTTATTGCTCTTTAGCTGTGAATTTTCTCCCTTTTTTAAGTGCCTCTAGCACAATGAATGTTTAGGCAATAAACCAATTACATATAGTGAATGTTTAGACCATAAACTAATTGAAAGATAGATCTTAAATCACTACCACCAGATTGATATTTTGCTGGTTAGATGGGATTTTGTTGGGCTCTAAACCAGAGGCCAGAAGTCTTAGGAAACTTGATAAGGATCATATTGTATTATACTGAATGGTAGGGTCAGATCTGGCAGGAAGTAGAAGGCCAGATCCTTGGGTCATTATTCTATTAATCATACTGCTTTCATCAACTGGAGTACAATAAACATTTGGTTTCCCTTTAGAGCATACCAGAAATTCCTGATGACCTGAAGCAGCTTTATAAAACGGTATGGGAAATCTCTCAGAAAACCATTCTCAACATGGCAGCCGAGAGAGGTGCTTTCATTGATCAAAGCCAGTCTTTGAACATCCATATTGCGGAGCCTAACTATGGCAAACTCACTAGTATGCACTTCTACGGCTGGAAGCAGGTTGGTGGAACACATTGAGGAGGACTTATTGCCAACATGGGATATTTTGGAATTGAAAGAGTTTTTTATTCTAGCTACCTATTAAATATTGCCACTTAGGAGTTCTTTCCCTTCAAATCCAGTATGTTAAAACCAGCCCATGGTTTTTGTACTAGATCAAGCTCTTACTTTGGATTTTTTTGTTTCTTTAAGACTATTTAATTCCTAGGTTTGGAACCTTGGAATGATGTATGATCCTCCCTTTACTCCCTATTAGTCATTGACCAAGTTGTATTGGTTATTCCTTGTAGTGTTTTTTTAATATCCTTCTATTCTACCACTATAATTCTTAACTTATCTCTCTGCTTCTAGTATCTCTGCTTAGGCCATCTTGTGCCCTGCTACCATTCCTAAAATAAAACTCTAAGCCAGGGTTCCTCAAACTACGGCCCGCGGGCCACATGCAAATACAAATATTGTATTTATTCCCGTTTTGTTTTTTTACTTCAAAATAAGATATGTGCAGTGTGCATAGGAATTTGTTCATAGTTTTTTTTTTAAACTATAGTCTGGCCCTCCAACGGTCTGAGGGACAGTGAACTGGCCCACTGTTTAAAAATTTTGAGGACCCCTGCTCTAAGCATTCATTGTTTCACCACATAGCTAATCAGTGCCAACGATAAAGTCCCATGATTCTGGCCCTAGCCGGTTTGGCTCAGTAGATAGAGCCAAAGGGTCCCGGGTTCGATTCCAGTCAAGGGCATGTACCTTGGTTGCAGGCTTCTCCCCGGCCCGGTCCCTGGTGCAGGAGGCAACCAGTTGATGTGTTTCTCTCACATTGATGTTCCTCTCAGTCTTCCCTCTCCCTGAAAATCAATGGAAAAATATCCTCGGGTGAGGATTAACAACAACAGCAAAAATAAAGTCTCGTGATTCCAGATTGTTTTCTTATTCCCTGGCAATGTGCTGGGTGTTTATTTAGAATTTCATATTTTCTTTTTATTTAACAAACATTTATTGAACATATACTATGTGCCAGGACTGAGGAAACTGAATAAAAGATGATGATTCTTATCCTTGAAGTAGTCGCACTCTGTTTTTATACAGAGATATAGTCTAGCCCTCTGAATAGTTATAAATCTAAACTAGACATGTTGTGGTAGGCAAACTTAGAAGTCATACACCTGAGTCTGTCTCTTTAACCATTTTTTTTTTTAATCCTCACTTGAGGATATTTTTCCCATTTATTTCTAGATAGAGTGGAAGGGAGGGAGGAGGGGGTGAGAGAAAGAAATATCGTTTGGTTGCCTCCCATACTAGTACATGCTCCTACCCAGGCTGGGGAACCTGCAACTACCGACGTACATGCCCTTGATTGGGAATCGAACCTGAGACCCTTTGTTCTGCAGACCAATGCTCTTAACCACTGAGAAAAAATGGCCAGGGCTCTTTATTTGAGGAGGACTTACTGCCAATAAGTAATTGGAATATTTTGGAATTGAAAGAGTTTTATATTCTAGCTACCTATTAAATATTGCCACCTAGAAAAACTTGAATCTGTTGGCTTCAAATGGAGTCAGCATTTTTGGGAGGGCTTCCTAGAGGAGGTAGAATTTCAAGTTCAGAAAACAATTTGACCTGGTTTATGGAAATGTATTTTAGATATTGGTCTTGAATGTCTAGTGTTCTCACAGTTTCTCCTAATAGTTGTATTTATTTCCCTTGTAGGGTTTGAAGACTGGGATGTATTATTTAAGGACAAGACCAGCAGCTAATCCGATCCAGTTCACTCTAAACAAAGAGAAACTGAAAGATAAGGAAAAGGCATCAAAAGAGGAAGAAGAGAAAGAGAGGAACACAGCAGCCATGGTGTGCTCTTTGGAGAATAGAGATGAATGTCTGATGTGTGGGTCCTGAGGAAAGACCTAGAAGAGACCAGCACTTCAATAGCCAAACTACTTCTTGAGCATAGAGAATAAGGAGTGATTAAGTAGGGTTTCATTAACCATTTGGCACTCCTTTTTCTGTTGACTTCAGTTTTAGTAAAGAAATAGTTTTGCTGCAAAATTGTGTCATAGACAGAAATGCTGACAAGACCTTTATCTGGATAAAGTTCATTCTGAAAATAAACATTTTCAAGTGATTGTGTGAGACTACTTTTGTCATTTATTTTCACACAAAGGTCAAGTGTGAAAGAACATGCCTTTTTCTCTTCTTTTTTATTGTGATAAGATAAACAAGTGTTACCATTTTACAGCAAATAGTTTAGTGGCATTAAGTACATATACAATTATAACTGTCACCACTGTCTATTTCCAGAACTTTTTCATCAATCCCAAACAGAAACTATATAAAAAACAATAACTCCCATTCCCTTCTCCCCTCAGTCCCTGGTAATCTGTTTTGCTTTCTGTCTCGAATTATTCTATTCTAGGTAACCCATATAAATGGAATCATATAATATGTGTCCTTTTCTATCTGACTTATTTCACTTAGCAATTTTTCAAAGTTTACACATGTCATAGCATGTATAAGAATTTCTTTTCTGTTAAAGCTGAATAACATTCGATTATATGTATGTAGTACGTTTTGCTCATTCATTTATCTGTTAATGAACATTTGAGTTATTTCCTTCTTTTGGCTATTCTTTGAATTCTTGCTTTTAATTTGTTGGGTATATACCTAGAATAGAACTGCTGGAATATATGGTAATCTCTTTAACTATTGAGGAACTGCCAAGCTGTTTTCTATAGCAGTTGCACCATTTTACATTTCTGCTAGCAGTGTATGAGCATTCCAGTTATTTCATATCTTTGCCAACACTTGTTAATTTATTGTATTTTTATAATAACCATCTTAATGGCTTTTGACAGTTTGATTATAATGTGTCTTGGTGTGGGTCTCTGAGTTTATCCTACTTATGGTTTGTTGAGCTCCTTGGATTGGTAGATTCACATCTTTCATTAGATTTGGGAATTTTTCAGCCATTATTTCTTCAGATAATCTTTTTGCCCCATTTTGTTTTTCTTCCAGGGGTCCCATAATCCATCTATTGATCTACTTTTTTGTGTCTCACAAGCCCCTTAGTCTCTGTTTACTTTTCTTCATTCTTTTTCTACTTTTCAGACTATAATTTCAGTTTTCCTGTCTTCAGGTTACCTGATTCTTCCTGCTCAAATCTGCTGTTGAACCCTTTTGTGATTTTTTTCCCATTTCAATTATTGTTTCTTCATGCTCTAGAATTCGGTTTCTTTTAATAATTTTTATCTCTATGCTGATGTTCTGATTTTGTTAATATGTTGTTTTCCTGATTTCTTTTACTTGTGTTCATCTATTCCTTAAGTTCTTCAAGCATGTTTAACACAGTTGTTTTAATGTCTTTGTCTAGTAATTCTGATGACTGGGCTTCCTCAGGGATGGATTTTGTCTATTTATTGTTAATTTTGATGTTGTAAAATCAAAGTACTACTTTATTATTTGACATAATATGAAAGCAGCTGCAGGTTTGTTATCTCAGGTCTGAGACAGTAGAAGAGTCAAAGGTGTCATGAATTCACCTGTTAACAACTGTATGGCTGGACATCAGCCAATTCTGGAGGAAGGTGAGTCTTAAGATGCTTGCTCTCAAAGTGCCTCTTGAAGTTCTTAGGGTTTAACATTTGTGTTCTATACAGTTCAGGTATATATTAAGGCAGCTTTGGCATCAGCCTTTTGGTCAGGTCCTTGTTTTTTCTTTTATCCATCTTGCTTTTTGTCAAAAAATTTTCATTTAGTCTTTCCTTTACAAAAAGATCAGTGCTTCTTGTGTTCTCTTTAAAAAGACTCAGTATCCCATTGTCATGGAGATACAGTTCTTTATGATCTTGTATAAGCTTTATGGTTGGGACTTTAACATCGAGATGTGCCTTTCTTTAATATTTCCAATACATAGTTACCAAATGTAATGCATTCCATATATCATAGCACGCACATAGCCTCTCCTGAGGTGTGATAACACAGAGCCCTCACCACCATTTCAGCAAGTTTCTCTGGTTGAGTACATCACATCCACTTTATCTTTGCCCTTATGCTTGCTGCTCTCTTTGTTTTCTGTGTGGCTTTGTGGTTTTCATAGCCTTCTCTGAGGGGGGTTAGAGGGAAGGTGGGGTCACACTATAATGCACACTTGCTATTTTCTCTTTCTCATCTTCCTCTTGCTAGTAACAACATGAATAGTCCCACCTACTCTTAACATTTTTTCAACCTTTAATTTTGAAATAATTTCAGACTTAAAAAACAGCAGTGTGAAAAATTCCTGTGCACACTTCACCCACATTCACCAATGTTAGCATCTTATGTAACCACAGTGCAATGATCAAAGTCAGGAAATTAATATCTGCACTCTAATGTAATTTCTGGCAAATGTTCAACTAACTAACGTCCCTTTTCTGACCCAGGATCCAATCCAGGACTGCATGTTTGCATTTGGTTTTCATGTTTCCCTTTCATTTGGAACCATTCTTCAGGTTTTCCTGTCTTTCAAAATCTTACCACTGTGGAAGAGTACCAGCAAGTTGTTTTCTAGAGCGCCCCTCATTTTGGGTTGGTTTCATGTTTCCTCTTGATTAAATTTAGTTTATGCAGGGGTTATTTTTGTGTGTGTGTGTTTTTGTTTTGTTTTTGCAAGAAAACCACCGAAATGACATTGTGCCCTTCTCAGTACATCATTTCAGAAGACACGTGATACCACTTTGTGCCACTCCTGGGGGTGTCGTCTATCATTTGCTTAAGAGACGTCCAGGTTTCTCAATTGTAAAGTTACTATTTTCCCTTAGTAATTAATAAGTGCCTTGTGAGGGGATACTTTGAGACTCTTACCTTGTTTCTCATAATTTTGCCCACTAATTTTAGCATGCATTGATCATTCTTGCTTGAAATGTTTATTTCTGTGATGTTTGGCAAATGGGGATTTCTACCTCTAGTCCTTCTGCATTTATTATTTGGAATTTTACTGTAAGGAAGAGCTTTCCCTTATCATGTGTCCATCTATCTATCCAACCATGTATGTAAATCAGTATGGACTTGGATTCTAAAGGTCATCATCTATTATCTTTATTTCTTTTGTTGCTCAAATTGTCCCTCAGTGGGACAACTAGAAACCCCTTCAGCTGGGTCTTGCTGTCCTTTTGACATGTCCCCATCATTTTTGGAGCACTTGCTTACTTGGTGGCACTATACGATTATCCAGGATCATTTTGTGTTTTTTTATACCCCAGCCCTAGAACCAGCCATTTCCCTAAGAACCCCTGATTCCTTTTATTGAGGAGTGGTATCTATTGGAATGGGCACTATCCCCTCACTGTTAGTACCTTCTACCTTCAAGCACTTGTCCGTGTGTTTTCTTTTGTATTAAAAAATAATATTTTCTCACTACCTTACTCTGATAGCTTTAAAATACAGTTTCTACCCTTATAGGACTCATCGTTAAGCAAAAATACATTTATCCAACATATTAAAACAATGTGATGAAGGAAGAAAACTAACTTATTGTAGACATAATGTGTATAAACCATTGTTTAATCATTTTGTCAGCTGCCTCTTGTCACAAAATTGCTGCAATAGCAAGCAGCCACAGAAACTCAGTTTGCGTTACTGGAGGCATTAATTCACACATTCGGGCGGTTAGCTCAGTGGCTCTACTGATTTCACTTGGGCTTCCTCATGTTGAAGCATTGGCTGGCTATCAGCTTATCTAGTTAGCATCTATGGCAGGGGTGGGCAAACTTTTTGATTCGAGGGCCACAATGGGTTCTTAAACTGGACCGGAGGGCCGGAACAAAAGCATGGATGGAGTGTTTGTGTGAACTAATAAAAATTCAAAGTAAACATCATTACATAAAAGGGTACTTTTTTTTTTTTTTAGTTTTTTTCATTTCAAACGGGCCGGATCGGACCCGCGGGCCGTAGTTTGCCCACGGCTGATCTATGGGATGGCTGGGGCAGCTCAGCTCTGCTACCAGTAAATGCATCCTTTGTTCCTCCAGCAGGCTAGCCCAAGCATGTTCTCTTGTTTACAGGAGAGCTGGACAGTAGTTAAAGTGGTAGAAACCAATTTTATTCAGGACTGTTGCAATCAGGGAAAAGACCTCGGTACAGAACTGGGCTCAACTCCAAATACACTGTGGGGAGGGGAATTTACAGCTAAGGAGCAGGGGAGGGGTGAACGGATGGAAAATTACATCAGCAGTGAGGGGATCTGGCTGACCTAACCTAACAGGATTCCTTGCTGAAGACAGGCTGGGTGACCAGATCAATCTCAAAGCCAGTGCCACATATTTTAGATTTTTATTATACAGCACCCCACTCCTGGTACCAATTTCTGTATCACTTCCTTATTGCCCATGCTGTTCCTTTTGTCTACAATGTCTTTTTTTTTAAATATATTTTATTGATTTTTTACAGAGGGGAAGGGAGAGAGAGAGAGAGCTAGAAACATCGATCAGCTGCCTCCTGCACATCTCCCAATACTGGGGATGTGCCCGCAACCCAGGTACATGCCCTTGACCGGAATCGAACCTGGGACCTTTCAGTCCGCAGGCCGACGCTCTATCCACTGAGCCAAACCGGTTTCGGCATACAATGTCTTTTCTCCATATCTCCTCCCCCTCCAGTAAACACTTTATCTTATCCTTCAAACACAACTCAAATTCACCCTCTGTGAAGTGTTCTGTTAGTGATTGTCCCTTCTCGATGTTCTCACAGAATTTTGTACGTAAAGCTGTCATTGTAAAGACATTATACGTCTTTACAGCTTGCTAGGTTGGGACCTCCTTCAGGGTAAAGATCTTATTTCCCCTTTCTTTGCAATCATGGGGTTAGCATTGTGTGTTTATTATACATGTTAATTGAACGAATGAGAGTGAACGAATCAGTGAAAATCACATGCAGAAAAAAGAGAAAATTTAGAAGCTGGAGACAGAGCTGGCTTTGCAGTTGGTTACTATGCAACTCTGGATGAGTAGATATTTTTCGGAAAATGGATGAAAGACTCAACGATGAAATGCAGATAGCCAAAGCCAAAGTACAGCAGGGAGGACTCACCTGCACATTTACCCGCTTGACAGAGTAATTACAGGACCTATAAGTTCTAGAGAATCAGGCAGGAAGTTCCC